GCTTTTGAAAATAAGGTTTTAAAACTAAAGCATCTAAGTTGTAAATACTATATTTCAATATTTAAAAAAAACGTAGTAAAAAATATTGTATAGGAAGATATAACACCAAGTTTTAAATAAATTGTAATATTATTAAACAAAATCAAATTAAGAATAGAGTCCCTAAAATAAGGAATCTAGAAATTCACTATATTGTTTTATAAACCTAGTTAGAAACATAGTCTAAAAAAAGATGAATATAGATTTTAAATTCTTGATTCTGTTATTCAAAGATAAAAAATAAAATAAAAACTATACAAAATGGCATTGTAGACGAATAATCTTTGTTTTAACTACAACTTCTTTTTTGAGAATCCAAGTATAAAATTAATTATAGGATCTAGGTTGTTATTATTATATTTTAATAAAAATTGAACCGTAGAAAATATAAAATCTGAGTTTTAATAATTTTTAAAATATTTTATTTTATTCCTATTATTTCTTGTTAGGTTTCTGTTATCATTTCAAAGGGTAATCACATCTTCGTTTCTATTTTTTTAAGCACTTGCCTACTTTCCACCTTTTTGGCCTGATTTATATATACATATATCCCATATATTATATATACTATTTGTTTTTCGGTTCTGCCTTGCTCTCTGCTGTCCAATGGATGCTTCTGCCACGTCTCGCTGTTGCGCCTCGGCGCTGCCCCCAACCCTCCAAGCCACCACTTGCCACCTCGCGGCGGCTTCAGCCTTCGCCCGTTCGCGTGGCTTACGAAATTGAATGAAAATAATCAAATCAAAATGAAAGAGGTTATGTAAATTTTGCTCACGTGTGTGTGTGTCTGGGTCCTGTGTGTGCTTTAGCGTGTGTGTGTCCTATCCCACTACGCTCCTTTTGCCCCGAAAAGTAACTTTTATTACTAATTTCTAGCTCTGCTTTCTCCCACTCGCATTTGCATAATTCACCGGGCCAAGTAAATAGCCAGACACATGAGATCCCGGCCAACTTTCAAGACCCAAACGGGATGGAGATATAGGGGTGTCGCCAGCTTATCTGCTGTAAATAAACCAAGTTTGGGTAAAAATTACCCAGAACCAAGCGCACAAAGGGAAAAGGGGTGGGGGAAAGCAAAGGGACGGGCTGGTGAGTGGGTGGGTAATCAGGCACTCAGGTAACGAATGGGGTTGCCAAGGACATACCGGTTTAAATAAAAATAAGAAAAATTAAGAACTTAACTGATAGCAGCCGACAAATCAGTCTTTAATCTAGCATAGTAAAATCTATAGATGAACCGATAGAATAACCTAGAAAAGAACCTATAGAAGAACCTGTGGAAAAACCAATAGAAGAAGCTTTAGAAGATCCTATAGAAGAACCTAAAGATTAAAATATAGTAAAATCTATAGGATAACTGAGAGAATAACCTATAATATAACCTATAATATAACCTATAATATAACCTTCAGAGGAATCTATGGAAAAATCAATATAAAATCAATAAAAAAAAAACCATAGAAGAACCTTTAAAAGAATCGATAGAAGAACCTTTGGAAAATCTTATTGAAAAACTTATAGATGAAATTATAGTAGAATCTGTAGAAGAACCGTTAGACTAGCCGATAAAATAACCTATAAAATAACCTATAAAAGAACCTATAGAAAACTCTTTGAAATAACCTATAGAAAAATCTATGGAAGAACCAAAAGAAGAATATATAAAAGATATCATGGAAGAATTTTTAGAAGATACGATTGAAAAACTTATAAAAGACCCTTAGAAGAACCTTTAGTAGAACCCCTAGAAGAGCTGATCAAGATCAATAGAAATTAGATAGTTAGATAGAAAATACAGAACCCAAAGCAACTGATATAAAAACTGATACAAAATAGCAATGCAGACTAAAGCTTCGTTCCAGGAACAACACAACTTCCTTCGCGGAAAACTTTGGCTGGCTGCCCAAAAGTGCAATTTCTTAGTTTCCTTATTTTCCGAGAGAGAGAGAGAGGGAGTGAGAAAGAGAGAAAGAGAAAGAAGTAAAGAGGATGTCCTCTGGTGTGAATAATTGTTTGCTTAAAAATTCCATTAAAAGGCGAAATAAACCAAGACGTGTCTCGTATCTCGTGTCCAATGAAGACATCCTTGAAAATGTGGTCAACTCTTTAAGGACTCGGTTCATAATGAACTGAGTAAGGCAACGTCATGGTGCTGGCTTGAACATTGTTTATATTCCAATTTATTAAACCAACTTATCGCTGGGTAGGATGAAAATTATGATTTCTAGGCCGAAAAACTTGAGTATTCACTGGGGTATTCCTAATTTATGGATTCCGAACGAAACTCAGTTCCGTTTTCATTCAGGAAGTTTGACTTGGCTACTGGCCTTCTATTCAGGCTATTGACTAATTTACTTAGCCCAAGTTTGATCGAGTTTGGTTGCCCTACCGAAGCAATTAAAGCAACCAAGTTAAGCCAAGGAAAAGGAGTCGGGGCCAGGGGGAAGCAGGAGCTCAAAGTTACGCAAAATTCTGTAGCTCTTTTGTACCAAAGTTCTGCCTCTGAGTGCCGTTTTCTCCCCTTTCTGGCGAAAAATACCAAACAAATTAGCATTAGAACTCGTTGGGCGAGAGAAGACACCGTTGCTGTGTCTTTGCAAAACTTGTTTACAAGTCGTTTGGCAATTATTCAATTCAATGGCAACGCCGATGGCCATTTTATATAATTTTCTGCGATGAGAGTTGGGCGTTGTGTGGGGTGCGCTGTGTGGATGTGGGAAAATGCCAGAGGGGAAATGCATTTAGAGCTGACCGGAAATCGCCTAATGCCCCCTCCCCCCCTGACAGGTGAAGTTGGGAATGGGGCTCAGAGCCAGGCGCTTTAAACTATGTTCAATTTTCTTTTTTCCTGGCAATTTCCCACTCTGACAGACGCAGACTTGGACATGGACACGGATGCGGACATTGCAACTGAGTTGGTAGGACACAAGACGAGGACTAGACAGACGCCCTAAGCAGTTGGCACAAACAACTTTTCCAAAGGAGCGCTGCTAAGGAACGAACATGAGGAATGAGGCAGGAAAATACCAGAGATTGGGGAGAGGCAAAAGGGTTCGAGAAGTGAAGGTAGAAAGGTGGGTGGCAGGAGTAGGGAGTTTTTGGTAAAGAAGAAGATACCAGGGGGACAGTTGTAAGGGACACGGTTGTGGATTTCGTTGCATCATCAGCGTCAGCGTCAGCGTCAATGTGACCCCTGACCCCCTTGACAACATTTGCCCTTTTCAAATGGATTTGCTTACTATTTTTCGTTACTGACTTAAATGTCTCCTAACAGAGTCTCTAAAGGAGCATCTGGGAGAAAGCAGCCCTTATAGCTTTTTATTTTAACGGGAAATATTTATATTCTGGGTTTCAAGGTTATTTATTATTAATACAAAAAGATTAAACTATAATACATTTTATTGTTGATGTCTTAAAAGCTTTAATTCTTTATTTGAAAATTTATAAAGCTCACTTAGCTTATTTTCCTTGACAAGTATCTTTTGGATACTATTTTGTAATATTTTTCTATATATTTTATTGTTAAATATATACATTTTATTTATGTAATTCTGCACTTATTTTTTTTTAATCCTGCTGCATAAACCTTATTCTTTCCTTATATATATGGTAGTACATAAACTTATCAATTTGTTCGCCTGAAGTTGTAACTTCATTGTGCTGCATTCGTGCTGGCGTTGGCTCGGTTGCTGAATAATTTATATGGCTTCCTGGACACTGGACTTGGGACAGTTTAATTTTCCTTTCTGTCCAACGCTTTTCCTCGATACCCGCCGCATTTCTCTCACTGTCAGCAGTTAACTTTGGGGCACATCCGTCGAGAATTGTTGTCGTCGTCGGCGTCGTTGTCTGTCCACACGTTGACTGGATTGTGGATGTGAAGGAGCTGGAGCTGGAGCTGGAGAGCTGCTTCTGTGGCTGGGAATTCCATCAAAAGTTGCCTTAGCCATCTTCCGCAGAGCCATCAAAAATTTGTCCGCATCTCCATAAAAGCTAAGCCAAGGCGAAAGGAAATATGAAATGATTTCTGTTTTCGAGGACGAAGCGGGCCGGCAGCCCCTAATTATGGCCTCTGTTGTGGCGGCAATAAATTATTATTGCTCAACACATACATACATACATTGCCAATTCAAAGTCAATTAAAGTCTCACGCAATTTGCTTGTCAAGTGGCAACAGGGAATTAAAAAAGTTTCTTTGGGGGAAAACTTGCCTGGGAAATTATTAAAATTTTAATTACGCAACTCTACAGGGGAAACTTGTAGACATCTCGCTCTGTCGTCACCGTTCTGCCATTGTCGTTATACGGAAAAACAGCAGCAAAGAAAGGTAAAGCAAACAGGACCTAGGAGGATTTTCCCTAAGACGAAAGATAGATACTCTCACCAAGCCAAAGTAAAGAGAAAAGCTTGATATACTCAAGGTTTTAGGTAAATTTTTACTTGATTTTTAGTAGTTGAAGGTGACACTCTTTACTTTCTTTCACCTTTCTTTTTCTTTTACTAAAATTTAACAAAAGAGCTTTTCCAAGTCTAAATCAAATCATAACCTCTCCGGTAATGACCTGTCTCAAAACTATATATTTCGTTAGCTCAAACTCCCTTTAAACTTGGCTCAGAACTAGCCCTCGCCGAGTTAAGTTGAGTTTGAATGACGCCCTGATGGATGGTTTGAGGGTTGGAAAAGACCTGGGGGAGGACTCGAAGGACACCCAGTGCCACCCACTCTCATTGTGCTGCGGCTGCTGTTGTCGTTGCGGTTGTTTCTTGCCTTGTTTTCGGCGATGTTCAGGGTGGTGCCACCTTTCCCCGGGGGGTGGGCTTTTTGGCCCACACAAAAAGAGCCAGCGTTGACGTGCTTAAATATCAAAGTACCCAACGACGACGTCAGGGGCTGCAGTTTTCGGGCACTCTGCTTTTGGGATGACTATCTTTAATCTGCTGCCACTTGTACATACTTGCAGATCGAACAGAGGCTAAAGCCGGATAAGACACGCTTGCCCAATTACCTGTCACCGTTACCGCTTCCGCTTGGTAATCGAAGGCATCGTAGAAGGGAGCACCAGCCGGACCAGAGGCATTATCACAAGGATAACCCCGAATCAGCAGCCTTCGCCATGGGCAAGAAGAACTCGAAATTGAAGCAGGACACCATCGATCGCCTGACAACAGACACATACTGTGAGTGTTCCTCATACCTACACATATCTATATACATAGATGTAGTATATATATACATACACATGTTTGGCCACAAATCATGGCCGAGTGCGTTGGCTTTGGGCGCCTTGAACTCCCCAGGATGATTTGCGAGCCGGTCCCTTGGTCTCCTGAAAGCCTTTTTGGCAGCTCTACGCCGGCAACGGGAGCTCCATCATATATCAGGGACAGAGTTTTTTTTTACACTTGCTCAATCCTTTGGACATTCATTATTTCTGGGATTTGGACAGCAGATTCCATTTTAGGGATGCATATTTGGACTTGCCATAGTGAAGTTTTAAATCGTATTAAAAAATACAATATAAAATGCAATCCTTAATTAATAGATGGATTATTTAGGACTGAATTTAATGGTGTATTTTTGATTTAATCCGATTTAATACTTCATAATTGAAATAATACCTATTTTTTTATTTAATACAAAATATTTGCAGTTTGTTTGGAGTGTTGGGAAAGTCTAAAAGAAAAATACGAATATTGTTGTAAAGGATTAAGAACTAAAAACCTAGAAAACCATTCAAATGTTTAGAATAAAAATAGGTTTTATTTTTAAAATTTAATTTAATTTCTATGTCCATATAGAAATTATGAATAAATAATAACTGACATAAAGTACAGGCTAGAAATGTATATCGAAAGTAATATAAGATAATCGATAAAAATATCGTGATCAATTTGATATCAAAAATATCCTGATTTATTGTAAATTCTATAGATATAGATATATAGAAATTTTTTAATATAAAAAATCTGATTTTATAATACAAAATAATATTTTTCTAAGTGGAGGAATCATTTTCGACCCCATAAACCATATATATTCTTGATCAGCATCAACATGCGAATCTTTCTAGACATGTCAGGAAGAAATCGATTTTTTGGCCATTTTTGCAAAATTTTATAAGGGGTTACATCTTTAAAATTAGCAAAAATGGCCAAAAATTTTGATTTCTTAAAATTTTAAATTTGGTATGCAGTTTTTTTAAATTAATAAAAACTAACACAAAACTGCTTTCCGAATCGAAATTAATGCATTTTTGGCTTAGTTATGATATATTTTAATTGTTACCTGCCAGGGTATACAAACTTTGGTTGGCCAAAGTTAGCTTTATTTCTTGTTTATTTTCTATATTTACTATTTTTTCTGATAAAGCGGCCCCGATATACATATCATAAACCATATCGATTTATTGCACAAAATAAAAATATCGCCTGATGTATCGACTTTTGTGGTATTATTGTTATTTGTTATTATAATTTTCATATAATTATTAATATTATTATTATTATTATAATTATTTTTTCGAACATAGGAAAATTCCGCATTAATCACAATGAAATAATTTCGACAAACATATCAAATGCCTCTTCAAATATCGATTCAATATCGATATTTCAAAATTCGATAATTTCCATCTTGGAAATTTCGATCTTGGTAAATAAACTTAGCTAATTTTTTTAATTTCTAATATTTTCTAATAATTTGCAACATTTTCTCTCCGTGCGGACTGTCATTGGTATATCAGCAATTTGCCAGTCTCGCCGCCGCCTTGATATGTAAACTCTGAATTTTCTAATGTGTTTAGCTGGGTGCCCGCCATAACCCAAAAGGGTTTGAATCGCTGGCTCCTTTCTGGGCTTACACATACCATACACGAATATGGCGGCGTCCTGATGACCCCCGGGGCCTCTGTTCCATTTAATTTTCTATGTAATTTCTCTTGGACAGGCAGGCAGGCAGAAGGGCAGGGAAACACTTGCCATAGAGCATGCAGTTTTATATATTTTCTAATAGTTGCACATGCCAGTGCGCGCCCTGAGGGGACAAAGACTATGTTCATTTCGACCGTGTCCACCATCCCTCGCATTTTCCATTTCCCATTCAACATTTTCCACTTACCACTCTTGGCACTCCTGCATTGCTCCATTGCTCTATGGCGCTTCGATTGCAGTTTAAGCGCTCTGGCTATGAGTTTTAAGAGTTTTCTTTTATTGTTTATTGCCTCGAGTGCGGCGGCCATAAGTAGGCTATACTTTTCCCCTTCCCACCCTGGAGCCATATGTGTGTGTGTGTGTGTGTGTGTCCGAAAGTACAGTGCGTACCATGCCGCTTTATGGGCCCCTCTCAGATTATACGAAACTCCATTGAATGGCTTAGTTTCCGATTAGCGGTTGCCCGGGCCTCAGTATATTTTATAGCAATAAAAAATAAGTAGACATTTGGTTTGTCAAAGGAGTCGTTAAGTTGTCAGGCGGTGCGTTATATGGAGATTCATGGCAAGTACAATATGGCCAAGTGCAATTGAATTGAATATTAGGAAAATTCATTAGCATTTAAAGTTGATAAATGTATGGCCTTGTTTTTTACATTGTATTTTATTTTTATTAATTTTAAGATAAAAATGGGATTTGTGGTGGGTCATTTAAAGGATCTTAAAGTTCAAGTTCCTGTTATTTTTATGTATCTATGTATCTATATTTAAATTCCTCTCTCTTAACGAGGAAGGGTTCCTGGTAAACCCAGTTTCACTAGTTGTAAAAGCAAATTGGTTTACTATGCACCTGTTATCAAGTTTTTCTAAACGATAATGAGCCTTTTTTAAGGCACAGTTAAGTCCCGGTTAAGTCCCAGTTAATTCCCAGTCATATCCCAGTAAAGTCCTTGCTAAGTCTCACTTAAGTCCTGGTTAAGTCCCAGTTAAATCCAAGATAAGTCCCAGTTTTGTCCAAGTAAACTCTTAGTAATGTCCTTGCTAAGTCTCACTTAAGTCCTGGTTAAGTCCCAGTTAAATCCAAGATAAGTCCCAGTTTTGTCCAAGTAAAGTCTCAGTTAAGTCCCAGCAAAGTCCTATTTAATTTTCAGTTAAGTTCCAAACCAAATTTTCTTAGCAGGAACTTTATCTGTTCGTAAAACTTTAATAGTTAAACAAGAAATCGATCCTCGGCAGGATAATACACCTAAATCACTGGTACCCCAGGGGTGATTCAGGAACCATTACGATTTAAAGCATTTCAGCAGTTAACAGAATTTAAACAGACATTTTGGAAAAAAGAAAGATCGGAATTACGTCTAGTCAGAGTTGGTAATCAACTTAAGTAGCCCATCGACAGTTTTGTTATCCTTTGTGAGCGACTTTCACTTTTTGCTTAATGTCTCGAATAATTACCCCTCGCCACTTAAAAACCCTTTCAGACTTCATGTTAATTGTCGGTCTATAAAATTCCATTGGTGGCTACGAAAAAACTAAGAGGGACAAGCCAATATGACAGCATTAGGGTCGAAAAGAGGGGGGGTTGCAGTGTGTGTCTGTGTGTGTGTGCAACATTTGATTACTTTTCGGCTCCCCTTGGCTCCGTCTGCCGGCCTGTCATGTATACCCAGCTTTATTCGCCAACCCCTTTTTCAGGCGCTTTTTTTCAGCGCCACCCCTGTGCACCTACCCTGCAGCAGCATGCATGGCTTTTATGTCAATTTCTGTTTGTTTTACGCTTCGACAAACAGTCGCAGGACGTGAGGTGGGGGTGGGGGGAGGAGGGGGAGGAGGCGGAGGGGGCTTGGGGCCAAATCGCTTATAAAACTAAAATGCATGACCCTTGCCAAGGGAGCCTCGGTCCTCCTCAGCTTACGACACGCTGCAGCAATGTCATATTGCAATGGCATTCGGAACCGCATTCATTTGGCTTTGGCACATGTATTTCGCTATGCAAACAGATGGAAAAGGGGGAGGGGAGGGGAGGGGAGAGGAAAGCGGAAAATGGAGGAATTTGGGAAAATGATGCTGTGTCCTGTTGGTCCCTCATCCCCCTTCCTGTGTGATAACTCCTCCCAGCTGATTTCGCACGCACTGGCACTGGCACTCAAAATTCACTTCAATGTTGAAATTATTATTGCACTTGTTGTGTTCAGTACGTGAGTGTGGGTGTGTGCGGGTGTATGGTTGGGGGAGCACTCAGCTTGTCCTGACATTTTCTCTGGCATTTAGCAGTGGAAATCAAATGTGTACAAGCAACAAGGAAAGCAGAACAGAACAGAGCAAAAACAAGCAGTGCCTCTGCACTGAGACAAAAAAGGGTGTAGAAGTAAGGGATAAATATTTAAAAATTAGTAAAAAAAAAATGTAATTTAATAAATAAATTAATAAAATATATTTATATGGAATAAGCTATTCAGTTAATTTTTTTTTAAGTTCTTTAAAGAGTTAAGTTCTCCTAAAGAGCTTAATCTTTTTTAAATTAAAATATATTAAATTACTTATATAATTTTAAAATTAAATATAAATATTTAGTAACTACATAAGACTGTGAAGAGTCGTAAATATCTATAAAAGGGATATATTGGTGTGAAATTATTTTTAAAATTTTAATAGAATAAAATGCTAAAAAGGGAATTATTAGAAAATAAAAAATCAACCTTCTCTCATTTTAAATTACTTTTTCTTAGCTTAAAAGTATGAAAAGCTAAATTTAAAATAAATTAATAAAAGCTAAAAATAAAAAAGTTCATATTAATTATATAATTTTTAAATTAAAGCCAGCAAAGCTCAATTTTTATAAATTTACAAAGTTTATAATACAGACATAGCGAACAAAAAAACCATTTATATATATTTATTATAAATTTTATATTTTTTTAAAGTTGTTTTCTTTATATTATATATATTTTTAAGTGGTTTGTTGAATTAAAAACTTGTAATTTTCCGTTTCTTTTTAACATTTAAACATACATAATCCCCAATTAATTGTTCTGCATAGACTATAAATTCATTACCTTTCTCTTGGTGTAAGCAAAGAAATCAAAAGACGTTCCAAGGGTTGGGTAAAGTGACTGATAGTCGCTTTTGCCCCACTGTGCACTCTGCACTGTGCACACATGTTGTGTATAATTTGCTAATGGCGCAGGGAGTGGGCAATGGAACCCGGTTCTCCTCTGGCAGCCTGCACCGAACATTCCATTCATTGACTCAGTTAGTCGCTTCAGTGCAGCTCTGTTCAATTCCGACTGCCATATTCCCTGGCTGCTGCTCGTTTATAGACGCAAATTGATAAAGCAACAAACAGAAAGCGATTCGCCAGGGGAGGTGGAGGCTGACAGAGTCTCGATACGCCATATAACGACATTAGAAAATTGCCAATCGATGGGAAATTATGATGTGCTTTGCCGTCAACTTCAGCTGGCAGCGACATTTTAGCATAACGGCAACAATGAAGGGGGGCCAGGAATCGCTGGCAAACTTAATCAGAAGCGAACTGAGCTGCTAATTTGCGAAATGATCGGGTTGCTGCACTTAACAATGGCAACAATAGATGGGTACGATGGTACGGGGTATAAAGTGAAAGCAATCAGTCCTGTATTTGAGTTCTGAACCGCAAACGGAAACGAATATAACAGGGATAAACCTAAGAGTATGCCAGTAAATTAATTTAGAGGTAAGTGAGAGAGTATATAACCATATTTTAGCCTTAGCACTTCTTAAATTTAATTAATTTAAATTATTTAACATTAAATACATAAAAGAAAATCAATCGGTAACTGTATTTAAGTTCTGTTCTAGGTTAGGAAACGGAAATTACAAAGATTAAGTTTAGTGCTAGTAAGTAAATTTAGAGGTAAATAAGAGAGTAAATAACCATATTATAGCCGTAGCACTTCTTGTATAACTTAATTAATTTAAATTATTTACCATAAAAAACATACAAGAAAAGCAATCGGTAACTGTATTTAAGTTCTGTCAAGTTTAGTTCACTTTTGAACCGGAAATGGAAACAGAAATGACAGGTTGAGAATAAAAACCCATATTTTATTCTTAGCACTTATTTATATTTATTAAAATAAACGTTTTATAAAACCCAAACAGGACTGTACTCAAAACCGGAAACGGAAATGCCAGCCTAAAAGTATGCCAAGAAATTAGATCAAAAGACAGCAAGTAACCATTTTGTATCATAACCACTTAATTTTCAGTTAAATTTATTAAAACTAATATAAATTAAATACCTTAAACACTCACATCTTAACACCCTTGGCCCGTTTTTTCTGTATTTGCGCTGCCACTGTTATTCGCAAAATTAATTTCAGATATGATCATGATTAATTAGTCGCACCAGAGAGCCAATTTTAGATACGATCTGAGTCTGGCTTAGGTTGCAGGTTCCACTCTATTGGCCTGGCCAATTTGTCCATGTTTTGTCTGTGCCTTTGTGTGTGCTATCCATGGATTCCGTGGGACAATGGCTATGGCTGCTCTCACCCCGTTGCCGCAGAGGTGAGCTGTTGCGTTTCAGTTGCGTGCAAGGCCACCGAGGGGTTAACCGCAGACATGCGATGTGGCGGCGGCGGCGGCTGTGTGCTCAGGGTTAAGCCGAAAGCCGAATGCCGAGCGAGGTCACTTGTTGCCCCGCCTCGGAATCGCTGGAATCTAATCAAGTTTGGTAAATATTTGAGCCGAGAAGGGTGGGGCACACACATCCTTGTGGAGCGAACTGCAAGGTTGTTGCCAAAGTTGCTACCAAAAAAAAAAAAAACGCACAGTCCTTGTGCCTCCAAACGTGTGTTCTGGTACTTGGCTAATGTTATGGGGTATATATGTATCTGTATCTCTTATGGTTTATTATATTTTAATTATAATTATTTATTTTAATAAATATTAAACTTTAAAATGGCTAGAATTAGTCACTTAATTATAGTTTGATTTGATTTTGATTTCTACCTTGAATTATATGTTGAGCTGTATCGAGCGGAAAAATCCAATATCGATAATACTTATGCGCTCAACAACAAAAATATCGTCAAGTTTAATGTATCAAACTTTGATTTATCGAAAAATATCGAATTTGTCAGTTAAATATAGATATTATTTAACAAAATCTTAAAAAGTATATCGAATTTATCGTTTAAATTCAGATATTATGCGCTCAACATCAAAAATATCGTTAATCAAACTTTGATTTATCGAAAAATATCGAATTTATCTTTTAAATGTAGATATTATCAAACAAAATCCTAACAAATACATAGAATTTATCATTTAAATTCAGATATTATGCGCTCAACAACAAACATATTGTAAAGTTTAATGTATCAAACTTTGATTTAATGAAAAATATGTAATATATCAGCTAAATATAGATATTATCTAACAAAACCCTTACAAATTTATTAAATTTATCGTTAAAATTCAGCTATTATGCGCTCAATAACAAGAATATTGTAAAGTTTATCAAATGTATCAACCTTTGATTTATCGAAAAATATCGAATTTATTCTTAAAATAAAATTAATAATAATAATAATAATATCTTTATATTAAACAAAATTCCCAAAAAAAAAAAATAATGTTAGGTGATCGATAACGTTGATATGTACCGTTGTAGTTTAAACCAAGTCAACGCTCGTCTTTGGCCTAGTTGATATATCAATATCGCAAACTTAAAAATCGATTTACGCATTGCCATAAATCTTAAATATCGATACACTATCGACATGTACATATTTTCGCCGTAAAATATGCCATATTCATTTTGCCAGGTATTTCTACTGTCGAGGCACTCGACTTGCTGTGTGTGTGCGTGTGTGTGTGGGGCCCGCATGCAGCTCGCAGCTCATTTAAAGTTCGCCTCTCATTCAACCTTCCCCCACACCTTTATACCATGGAAGGGGGGAAATGAAAAGCGGAAGAGGGCGAGGCCCTTTGCCAGCCATTCATTAATTAGCATGTGGCCACACCCAGCGGGAGCTCCTACCCGCCTTTTGCGTGTATGCGTAAGTGTGTGTGTCTCTCTCTCTGTGTGTGTGTGTGCAAAAAGTTCAAATTAAATCAGTTTAAAATTAAATTATATAAATACAAAAAAAAAGGCTAAACTGGCGGCATTTTGGCCTTTTTTTGTGAACAAGAAAAATGAATAAACGCTGCGGGCCACAAACAACTTTCGAGGGGAGCAAAAAACGCTGCCTTGTGCAAATAAACATTTAAATCGAAATCATTTTTGTGCCAGCTAAAAGAGGATCGGGGTGGGTGGGTGGTAGCGTCCTGGAGTTGTTCCTGGTAAGTAGCACACTCTGGTTCGGGCCTGGCTATGAACTAATTTGCTTTACAGCCGCCGGCGCTGCACAAACACCAACATTCTCTGCCATTCCCCTCCATACGGGGATACGGAATACTGATTACGAGAGGGATTGGGCAGGGGTATGGCTAGGGGGGGGAGGGGGAGGTGTGTATATATATGTATTATTCATGTAGCCGCAGTAAAAGTCGTCGGCCGACATCGACAGCGACAAGGATAACGCTCCTTGGAGCTTACTTAGCCAACGCGTTGGCGTGCGCAGACTTTTAAAAGGCCTGTGGGGGCCATCGGCATTGGCTGTGGGTGTCTGTGTCTGGTTATTTGGGGTACACACACCCCCACTCCCCTTCCACCCCCTTCCACTTGCCATTCTCCCTGACATTCCCCTCAGCCTAGGCTGCGGCCAATTTCAATTGCGTGCAGCAGCTGAAGTCAAATTTCCTTGGGTGTCAGAGGTTAGGCTCTGTTTTTTATTTGTAGAAAAAAAAATATATATATCTACCTTTTTTTTTGGGAGAAAACACAGCATCTCCATCATCATCAGTGGGTTTTTCTTGTTTTGTTTTTTTTTTTCTTCATTTCCAAAGTGCTTTTTCTGCTGGCTTCTCACGTGTAATTGTTGGGGAAAACTCCGCCAGGAGGTTGAAGTAGGTCTATAAATTGGTCAGAAACTGGAAGAAGTCAAAATCTAAGCAGAAATAATCAAAAAAGAGAAAGAAAAGTGTCTACAAATAGATATAAAAACAAAGACATAACTTTGAATTGAAATTACTACTATTTTTTCAAAAGGGTTTTCTTTTATTTTGAATACAACTATGTTTTAAAGGTCTTCAGTTTGCATTTAAATTAATTTATTCACTTTACCTTGGCCAGCCAAGGACTGTAATTAATTAAATGATTTATTAAATGAGTGTGAGCACTTGGCGTGCGCGTTGCATTTCCCTGTCGCAGGTCATAAATTTCGTTAGCTTATTACTCATACGCAGTGTGGGCGCATCATCAGGGTAAAGGGAGAGAAGGAGAACCATCCTGCTGCTAAGCCTGTCAAGTGAACGCCATCAATCTCCAAGGACAGTCGATCCTTAGAGCAACTTAAGCCGCCATAACTCAGCGGCTCAGCCGGGTTGGCCTGATATAGGGTTGATTTTGATATTAAGACTGATAGCCTTGGGACACTTGAAGAGGTCCTTGATAAGTGTTGTCTCTGCCAGAGCTTAACTAATCTTTCCCTCTCTGTCTTCTCTTTGCAGTCACCGAAAAGGAAATTCGTCAATGGTAAGCATTTTCCAGTCTTTTTGTGCTTTTCCTACTTTCGTTTTGTGATGGTTCTGAATCGAATTACGCTTTTATTTTTTGTATATTTTTTTTTCGTGGGCATAATTAAAGGCAAAATTGCAACAAATTTGAGCTCGCTGTCTGCGGTTGCCCAGGGGAGGTGTGGGGGTGCAAATTAATTCCAATGCGTTATAAAATGTAAATAAAATTTAAAATGCAAAAGCAACAGCAGACAGTGTGTGTGTATGCGGCGGCGAGGTAAACTTTTTTCCCAAGCCAATATTTATCTTTCATTTGTTGTGTGAGTGTGTGTGTGGACATTATTGGTTTTTAATTTAAGTTTTAATCTTTATTTTTACTATCCTTCCTCTGTTGTTTCTCTCAACCTCTCTCTTTTACACTCTCTGGTTCCCCCCTTTATGCTAATCTATTTGTCTATTATTGCCCTGTCTCTCTATAAACCCCACTTGCTGTTTCTATGCTATCTCCGCTATCCCGACTCTTGACCTCTGACACACCGAAGGCACAAAGGCTTTCTCAAAGACTGTCCCAATGGTCTGCTGACCGAGCAAGTGAGTATCCAACATATTTTACCATCATCATCATCATCAGCATCAGCTACGTTGCCAAGGCTATCATCATAACCAACCGCAAACGGAATCCTCTTTTTGCGGCAATACATACATATATATATATATATATATATATATATATATATATATATATATATATATGTATATATATCTATAGAGCTTACACACATTTATAGTTAAGCCACACATTCAAAATCCTGAAATGCGGTTTGTCCTTATTCCCCATTCGCTTTTCTCTTTTTTGTGGCTGACTTTTGTGGCTTGAATAAAATAAATACCAGAAATGTACACACTCCATACACATGTCCTGGCTGTAATCCATTCATTGATTTGACAATTTCAAGTATTTCGATTCCGGAGTTGCAGCAAATAAACTGCATTCCCCGCCAGGATGCAGGATGCAAGGAGGCAGCCCATAAATATCCCTTTGCTTACACTTACACAATAATACATCCCATTCCTAGGATAACCTAACATCCCTGCGAGTCGTTTATTTCACTTAACTGCAGAATTTCGAAATTTTCACTTTAATGCTATTTTATGTGTCTAGTTCTGACTTGCTTACCTCCTCCAAACTCCAACTCCAACTCGAACTTAACTCGAACCCAGCTCCACATAAATATTTACTTGTCTCACCTCTCTCCCTTTCTTCCTCGTGGCTCCATCTCGCTCTCTCTCTCTCTCCTTTCCCGCAGGGCTTCATCAAAATCTACAAGCAATTCTTTCCCGACGGAGACCCCAGTAAATTCGCCTCCCTGGTATTTCGTGTCTTCGATGAGAATAATGTGAGTATGCGAGAAAAGTCAATATAATATATAAAAAAACAAGAAAGGAAGCTAACTTCGGTACGCCGAAGTTTGTATACCCTTGCAGATTGGTTTTGATATTTATATTATAAATTATAATGCCGAAAACAGACACTAAACAGAGTTTCATAACATTTTTTCTATATTTATTATGTTTACAGTTTGACAGTTACAGTTTTAAATTCCCAGCCTTACATTTTCTCTACATCTACGGATCGCTTCTATGGCAGCTATATGATATAGTTGTCCGATTTTTATAAAATTTAAAAAAAAATTCTGAAATAACATAATGTGTCCATATCCCAAAAATGATGCAAAAATTTTGAAAAACAGTCAAGTTATAATTTTTTTTTTTTAATTTATTGAACATTTGTATGGCAGCTATATGATATAGTCGTCCGATCCGGCTCGTTCCGACATATATAGCAGTAAGAGTATATAGAAGACTATATGCAAAGTTTCATTCAGATAACTTTAAAACTGAGGGACTAGTTTGCGTAGAAACGGACAGACGGACGGACAGACGGACAGACGGACGGACAGACGGACATGGCTAGATCGAGTCGGCTGTTGTTGCTGATCAAGAATATATATACTTTATAGGGTCGAAAAGGTCTCCTTCACTGTTTTGCAAACTTCTGACTGAAATTATAATACCCTGCAAGGGTATAAAAATACTGGATATATAATATATCGATAAATTTCCTTATTAATTTGATGTTTTTCTAAAACTTCGATACGTATTTTCACAACCCTATAAAATTCCTAATAAAATTCACATTTATCTTACCTCGTAGGACGGTGCCATTGAGTTCGAGGAGTTTATTCGGGCTTTGTCTATAACATCGCGTGGAAATCTAGACGAGAAGTTGCACTGTAAGTTGAAAACTAAACGAAATGCATTGTAAGATTGCCTAAAGTATATTACATATTTATTATATTGTATATAATATAAAACATTGTGTACCCGGTTTTGAAATACTCATTCCCAGGGGCCTTCCGTCTGTATGATGTGGACAACGATGGCTACATAACCCGCGAGGAGATGTACAACATAGTGGATGCCATCTACCAAATGGTGGTAAGTATGACTCTTGATTTATATATTATACATAAAATATAAATAATATATTGTAAATAAATCACTTAAAGGGCCAGCAGCCGCAGACAGAGGACGAGAATACGCCGCAGAAGCGAGTGGATAAGATCTTTGATCAGATGGACAAGAACCACGACGATCGCCTAACGCTGGAGGAGTTCCGTGAGGGCAGTAAAGCTGATCCACGTATAGTGCAGGCGTTAAGTTTAGGTGGTGATTAACAACCGCAGGGCCCGTAGTAGTAGTAGTACCATAGTAGTGGCAACGAAGCTCGTTAATGGCGGGGGGAGCGATATAGCGAGTGATATGAGTGATATGAGTGATATTAGACAACGAATTCCACGCAAATTCACAGACGTCAAAAAGGAACGAGAGTCGCCCGCCCCCTCACACACACACACACACACACACACACACAGTCGCACATATTCTATATATATTATATACTGTACTATATCCCATTTGCCCGATCCTTGGGATACAGTTCATCACAAGCCAACACGAACAGAGTTTTGAGTCCTTAAGTGAAATTCCAACTAATAGCAAATTATATATACGCATAAATACATAATATTTCAATTAACAACAGCCAAAAGCCGCATCAGCCGAAGAAATTGTTAAGCAAAACCCAAGAGTTATGCAAAAAATTAAAAAGAAACATTAAACAAAGAAGAACAAAAACCTATAAACACCAATTGAAGTCAGAGAAGCGCTTTTTGAATACGTATTTCGAATATATATATATATACACACATATATATTTGTGTATATAGGTAATTAATAAAGAAACAAAACAAAATGGAAAGCATAAACAAATTATTTATTAGGCAATTTGCTCTATATCTTAGGCATTTTTATTGAAATGCTTGCCAAGCGAAGGAGAAAAACTCAAGTTGACAACTATCGTTAAGTGCCGATAGCCAATTAATTAGGCCAGTTGACATAATTTTTTTTTTTGCAAAAATAAGAAACAAAAAGAAAACAAACTAAGCTGACACCTTTACTTATTTATACTTATTGAAACTAATTCGCTTATTGGCTTAAGCGCTTTAATCACACAAAAATTGAAAAAGCAAAAAAATCGATCTATTGTTTTGTTGCCTTTTTGTCGAGCAAAAGCCGCTCTAACTGTTGATAATCGAACGTGTTGATAATCGATGTTAAACTAAAACTAAGAACAAAAAATCACACCTAAACCGATAACCGAAACTAGAACTAGAAGTATTCGAAACACACAGACATATTTGCATGTGAAAATATTATTAATAAGATGCATAACGGGCAAGCTCTTGCTTAAACGTATGGCGTTACGCATCTTATTATTATATAACTATCCTAGCTTTTCAGCATGCGACATGAGTGTTCCTCCAGGGGAATCTCCTCCTCCTTCCAGGTTTTGTGTTAGCCTCCTTAGCCGCCATTCATTCATTGAGCTTGACAATCAACCTGATTTTGCTGTGGGGCCATCAAATGGTTCCCTATCATCCCATGGATAATCTTGTGGCGGCACTATTTTCGATGTATCTACAACTATTATCTATACTTTTTTTTGTGTGTGTGCATGAAGGGAATACCAAATGTGTTTGTACTTGTTTTTCTTTTTTCTTAACCACAAACCAGAGCTTGAAACTATATCAGTGGGGTTACCCTGCTAATCTATGCCTTACCAAAACTATCAACTATCTATGTGAAACTATCGCCAAACCATCGACTCTCCCTCTCTCTTTCTCTCTCTCTATCGCTCCATCTCTCTCTGATACATACTTGAGTTTATTGTTTTTGGTTCTGTATTTCTTTTTTGGACAAAGTATAATCACCATGCTAAAATAATTTCTATATTTTATATGTGGCTCAGCTTTAGATCGTGTAAATGTAAGGAGGAACCTACTTTGTATTCCAACTCTATATATCCTTCCAAAACATCCCGTTTTTCCCTTAATAATCATGAACCTTAGACTTTAATTTGGATGTTGCCTTGTAGTTTTGGCCTTAGTTTCTGTTTCCTTACCAAAAATTAAAATAAAAATCTAAAGAAATTTTGCTTTGCTGCCAAGGTTTCATATTCCTCTTCCGATGCCCAATCCCAATTTTTTTTCGCACCCAAAACCCTTTTTCTAGTTGTACACACTTGTATGAATATATACCTAGATAAAAGCCAAATAAATTGATATATACACCTATGTATAGGGAGAGAAATATACATATACATACACTCAGATATTGAAAATTAATATATATGTACATTATATATTATATTATATAGAAGTCCCCCTATTTGTATTTTACTTGTGCAATTTGCAAATTGTTTTTGCATAGATTTGAATTTAAGAAGACACTCTGCACACACGTTTGCATGCCTTCCCCCTGTCATCGTAAAAATATTTGAGAAATCAAACACAAAAGTTGAAAATAAAGTGAAACATAATGAAACATAATATCTACTATGAATATACCTATACATATATGCAACAAATACAAATCAAGAAACCAAAACTAAAACTAAACTGCAGCAACAATCAATTTTTCGCGCTTCTTATATACTCAGACTCCAAGTTATTGTGAACTACATATATATATATATATCTAAATATATATATATATATTGTATATAAACGTTTGAGAATCCAATTCACACAGAAGAAAGGAAACCCGAATCTAGGCTTTAAGGCAAACCCACTATCACTCCCCACACGTATTTCTATATGTAATTGCTAATCCGAACGATAAAGATAATCTTGAAAATCACTTTCCTATATATATATATGGTACATATTATTTTTTTTGGTATCTTGTAAGCGATAATGAAAACCTTACTTTGTGTGCATTATATTCAACATAAGCAATACTTAATTTAGCATTCGAATGCATTAAGCAAGTGTTTAATATTAATTAAATCGATTCTAAACGAAAAACCCAAGCGGAAACTCATTCTCTTCACACTGAAAAACACACACAAAACACACATAACTAACAAGTTTTTGGAATTATTGCGAAAAGAAAAACTAAAATCAGAACAAAATTCAAAATGAAGTTTTATTTATTAGATTTAAGTTGTAAAGGAAGTTCTAACCGAAAAGAAAAATAATAATCAAAAAATAGAATGAAGCTAAGGAACTCTGGTATCTTATTAATATTTTGTATATATAATTTTTATACCCTTGCAGGGTATTATAATTTCAGTCAGAAGTTTGCAACGCAGTGAAGGAGACGTTTCCGACCCTATAAAGTATATATATTCTTTATCAGCATCAACAGCCGAGTCGATCTAGTCATGTCCGTCTGTCCGTCTGTCTGTCTGTCCGTCTGTCCGTCTGTCCGTCTGTCCGTCTGTCCGTCTGTCTGTCTGTCTGTCTGTCTGTCCGTTTCTACGCAAACTAGTCCCTCAGTTTTAAAGCTATCTGAATGAAACTTTGCATATAGTCTTCTATATGCTCTCACTGCTATATATGTCGGAACAGGCCGGATCGGACGACTATATCATATAGCTGCCATACAAATGTTCGATATATTTGTAGAAAAAAAATTATTACTTTGCTGTTTTTCAACATTTTTACACCATTTTTTAGATATGGCCACTTTATACTATTTCAGAATTTTGGTAAAAATTTTATGAAAATCGGACGACTATATGATGAATTATGGTATAAATTTCATAAAAATCGGACAACTATATCATATAGCTGCCATATAAACCGATCGGTAGATGTAGAGAAAATGTAAAACTGGGAATGTAAAACTGTAACTGTCAAACTGTAAACATAATAAGTATAGGTAAACTCTGTTTTGTCAGTGTTTTCAGCATTTAAATCTATAATATAAACCTCAAAACCAATCTGCAAGGGTATACAGACTTCGGCGTGCCGAAGTTAGCTTCTTTTCTTGTTGAATTAATTTTTAATATTAAAAAAAAGAAATTATAAATAATTTTACATATTATATTGTTTAATTCAGTTCTTTTGTTTAATGCTTAACCCTAATTCAACAAAGTTCAATTAATATATTAAGAAAGTATTCATTTTTAATTAAAAAAAATAAATTTTTTCGCAAGAATAATCGTCAAAAGGCCCCACTGTGCGCTTGAGTTGGGTTAGTTGCCGGAGGAGGCTTTAAATCCAAAAAATACATTAGTTTTTATATATTTAAAAACAAAATTTTATTTTTTATTATTTATAAATTTAAATATAATATTTTATAACAGTGAAGCAGTCATATCGGACCCTTAAAATCATACATATTCTTCAGAACCTTTTCTAATTTTTATAAAAACAAAATTTTATATATATGTATAAAAATATAATATTTAAAAATATTAAATTCAGTATGGAGATTATGCCCTTTTGATTTAGTTCAGCTCTTGATAAATTATAAATTAAATAAATTAAATTAATAAATAAATAAATAACTTTCCTGTTTAATTTAATCTTTTTAACACTTATTTTTGCTAATTTTCCTATGTACTTTTCTATGGTGACTTGGCGGATTTAGTGGTTGTAAAGGCCCGGACGGTTCAAATGGCTTTTTGTGATTGTGGCAAGCGCGGGTTTCCCACGCTCCTCTCGAGTGCCATGTTGCACGCGAATGCGGCAAGTTGCTGAGGCAAACTATTAAACGCCCCACATGACACTGGCGGCAACAACATGTGTTGTGTGCCAGAGATCTTTGCCCAGGGATCCCCAGATTTGTCTCATACTCAGCTTTTCTCGAACTGAAATTATAATGCTGCTGATGCTATGTATATACTCGCCTGAGTCAGTTGAAATTGGGTTTTTAGAACTTTTAATTAGAAGCGAAAAAGCTTACATTTGTAAATTATTTAATGTTTATTTTATTAATTAATTATGTTATTAGTTTAATTCATTTTTATTCTAATAGGTTTTTTTTTTTTTTAATTATAAATAAATATAAATATTATTTTCTCTTATGTGTTTTGAGAGTGGGTGTTTTGACACTATTATAGTTTATATTTGTAAAGAATGAAATATTTATTATTAATATTTATATTTCTATAACTTATATTGTTATTTAAATTATAAATGTATATAATTATTATATTTTTGGTGTGATTTTTAGAAGTTTAGGTTAAAGTGAAAGTGGGTTGTATGATACCATGCTTTATGACACTATTTTTTTAAATTATTAACATTATTATTATATTATTAATATTCATATTTTGTTAATTTATATTATTATTATTTAAAAAACAATATTTATTTATTATTTCATTATCTTAATATATTTGAAAAGTTGAAGCCGCTATGGCACACTTTGCGGAGTAAGCTATATGACACTGTGCTTTATAAACCTGGACTTATGACACGAACCTCACACAGAATATGTATGTTAAAGCTAAAGATAATCACACTTGATGGGCTAAAACAAATTAAAAGGGAAACTAAATAACTAATCAATTGATTTATTTAGTTTTGCTATCATTTGTTTTTAGTTTCTTCTAAAAGAATTAATTCCGTTTACTATCGGTAAATTGTTAACTAAATTATTTAAGTGAATTCTTCAATTCTGAATTCATCTTTTGATTTCCAATCTTTTCCCCCAACTAAATTCAAGTATTTCCCCATACCGCCCAATCCCTGTGCGATCTTGTTTTGATTCCGCCTGATCTTTAAGAACCAGGGGATTACTGGCGACTTTCACCGCCACAAGTGGGCCTGGGTAGATCCATCACATTCTCGCCCAACACACGCAGCTCATTAACAGCGCCGCTGACAGCTTGTGGAGGGGTGCTGCCAGTGCCCCTCTCCCCTCTCCACCCTCACGTAACACCCGCCCGGGTGCCTTGTAACTCCCCTCGATTTTTGTCAGCCTTGGAAGCGTGGGAAATTGTGCGTAGTGGTGGGATTTCGGGGAGGCTAAGATTGGCGGGCTCCGCAAAAAAAAAGATAAATAAATATATGGGCCCCCACCGGGTGATATAAATACTGCCTTTCGCGCCCAGCGTCGCGTTGGGCCAGCATCATGGTGACATCAGTGGGTCACTGTGGGAGCCGACCCAGTTCTAGCTTTTTTAGAAAGCCCAGAGCCCAGGGAACGAAAGCCTAGTAATAGGCAACATAGACACATAAATTATTGGATCGTATCGAGTATCAATTAGCCCGGGACAAGGGAATTTTCCGGGATTTTCCTAGGAATGGGGAAGAAGAGATATATTTATTGCCCTCTCAGGGACCTGCACTTGCTTGGTTCGCTTCGTCCCGACACGATTCGTTGATCCGAAGAACCCAATCCTCGAGTGGTGCATTCTTTCCCCCCAAAAACTGGAGTCGGGAACTGGAGTTGTGGGAACTGTTTTTCCAGGCTAAATGTCGCTTCGAAGGGTTGTCCTTCGCTGATAAGCAGCCGAGTGAAGTCAACTGAAGCCCTTCAATTGCCTTGTCGTCCCACACAGCTATTTATGTCCAAGTGAAATATCAAAATTACATTTGTAACAGACGCCTTAGTCGGCTTTCATGGGTTAATGGTACGCACTCATAGGCATCCCGGCCCGAAGCCATCTGAAATCCAAGAACAGACACACTTAAGGGCGGTCGCACACGCGCACATCTATGGCACAGTGGAATGAGTTGTGTTTATAATTGGTCAACAAAGTAGAAGAATTTTAAAGAATGAAAAAAGGAACATATTAAAAATTATGTATTTTCGGTCAAATTTAAGTTTTTAATAAATATTTATATATTTTTTTTTTTTTTCAAAAATAACAATTTTTTAAAACAATTAATTAAAACAAACTTAAAGGTAAACGACAACAAAAAATTGTATATTTATTTATTTATTTTTTAATTTTTTATTTAATTTATTTATTTATCTATACATCTATTTATTTATTTATTTTTATACATAGATTTTTAAAAGCTTTTATTTTATTTATTTAAAAGTTAGAATAATCTAAACTAATTTTTTAACAATCTCTACTGTTTTTTTTTTAAGCTCATATTTCGCACTTGAGAATTACAAGGTCTTTGAAATGTTTAAATTTTAGAAATTGCAGCCCACTGTACGGTTATCAGTGCAAGAGATCTTTCCTGAATCGGTTCTAATTCCATGGACAATGGTCTGAAACGTCTATAAAAATGCTCATTAAAACATATTTCAATTATGCCGCACATTGCTAACGTTAAGAGAGAGAGAGAGAGAGCAAGTAGAGATAACAGCTAATGGGGTTTCCGGCCATGATTTGCATTATAAAAGTTATATGTTTTTGGCGCGCCCCCGTCTATATCGTTTTTATTTTGCTTTTATATATACATTCACCGAGATATTCCCAAGCGGCCAAAAATAGACACAAATTGTAACGCACTTGAAGTGCACTTTGAAACATCTTGAAGTCCAAATAAAACAGCAGAAAGAACAACAACGCATGAGTGTGTGTGTGTGGTGTGTGTATGTGTAGGTCCTGGCACAGGCACGTCAGGCATGAGAGGAAGCGAGGGGAAGCGAGACAGCCGGGCAGAGAGTCGCATTGCACACACAACATGTGAATGCGAGTTCAAGTGCATGCCGTGACACACAGCACACACTCACACCGACATGCCTGTGCCTCTGCAAAGTGTTTTTTCCCAGGCGCTATTTATAATACTATGTATTCCATAGCCGATCCCATCTAGCGGCACTATGATTATGACGCTCTACACGATGACGCCTCTGGCAATGATCTGTTTTGTGGGGTTATCGAGCGGATGAATACCCTGGGAAAAATATTTCATAAATATTACATGTTCATTTCGAACTGGATTTGTCCTAATTTATATATTAATTTACTTATTTTTATTTTTATATATTTTTTATTTATGAAATTAAGTATAGAAAAGAATATGTACTGCAAATATAGTAACTGGCTTGAAACCTTCTAAAAAAAGTGTGCAATTTTTAAAAACTTCTGAAGTGCATTTAAAAGCGATATCACACTGGGCGTTATGACACTGGGTCTTATGACACTGGGTCTTATGACACTGGGCTTTGAGACACTGTGGCCTTATGACACGGCCTTAAGGAACTGGGCGTTAAAACATTGAGCCTTATGACACTGGGCGTTATGACATGTATTTGCCTAATAAAAAAGATAAAATAAATAAAATAATATTATATAATAATAAAAAGTGTGAAATTGTTTTTTTTTTATACAAAATTTTGTATTATCATTACATATTTTAGGGGATTTTAAAGCAGTTTGCATGATAAATTCACCAGAAATATGAAACGTTTGGGAATATATGGACTCTCTACTAATAAATAATAGTGGGTATCAAACTCAGTTTATAGAATGGAAATAAGTCTTATAAAAAATTATATTATACATCATATAATTTTCCATAATTTATACATATTATATTTACTTATATTTTTGTATTATTTATTAAATTATGTTTACCTAGTTCGCCTTTTATAAATTCATTTATAAATTATGTTAGGACACAGCATACCCCTGATACCCTGTCATAACAAAATCAGGCGCCAAAACATGCGGTTTCTGCTCGAAAAAAAATTCGGCTTGAGATTTGGAAATGTATAGGGAAAAGGATCCGCAGATGGGAGTGGGTATATGGGCATGGAGATGGGAATTCAAATAAGAATGGGATGGCCACATGCGCCGCTGGTTGCGATGCCTCCATGTTGCATGTTGCAGTCGGTGCAGCGAAAGTGTTGCAGCTGTGTGAGAGAGTGCGTTTCTATTTTTGGGGGGAATGTGCGCCGCGGCGCTGGTGCTGCCACATGTGCTGGTTGCTCCGCTAAAAGGCATTGTAATGAGAGCAGAAAATAGAATTGACTCCACTTGAGCAATGTCTCATAAAGCTGGATTCGGGAGTCGGGAATTGCCTTCGAAGTCGGAGTCCACAGCAGCAACACATGGGCCCACGAGTTATGTTTTATTTTTATCCACTCGATTTTTTGGGCTCTCCAAACAAAACGTTGCTCTGCTCTCCCGACTTCTATAAGATCTGGAGCGGTCGGGCAACTCGGGACAGTCTTTGGCGGCAGCTCGACACGGTCGGATCGGATCGGAACGGAATATATATTTATATATACTTCATATAAATAACCAACAGCCACCTCGATGGGCGTCATCTACAAAATACTCAAGCAGCAACGCCAGCAGCACCATCGGAGCCATCATCTCACCATGGATCTCAGCCTGAGCTCCACCACCCGGTGCAAGGTGCAGGCGGCCATCAAGCAGCGACAGCAGCATAGACTGGAGCAGAGCCAAGAGCTGGAGAAGGAGCGGGAACAGCACCAAGAGCCAGCGCGAAGGCAGGAGCCCGATGGCCAGTGCATGGAGATCGATGACAAAGAAGAGCTGGCCGAGCAGCAGCTCCAGCAGCTGTGCCGCTTCCTGGCCGACAATGCAGCCCGCAAGAAGGTGAAAATTTATAAATAATTCATTAATAAATAAATAAACTAATTTAACCTATTTCCCCAAATAGCGTCAGCGTTTCAAGTTGCAATATCAAGATCATGATCGGGTTCTGGATCAGCAGCGGGAGCAGGAGCTGGAGCAAGAGCCCTATTCGCCGCCGCCGCCACATGAAATGGCCATGGAGTTCATAGATCAGCTCCAGCAATCCTCGCCAGCAGCGATGATCAGCAGCACCAGCAGCAGCAGCAGCCCTGCAACGGCGCCACGTGATAGCATCCTGCTGAAGATACGCCACCAAATCTTTGAGAGAAAGCGCCAGAGACAACGTCAGCTGGCGGAGTTGGTGCAGCAGCGTCTGGTGGTCTGGAGACCCTGGTAGGGAGTATACCCAGAGAGATTCTGAGAGAGAGAGATCCGGGAACTGAGACTAGTCTAAGTGTTAGCTGTAAGAACGATTTCGGTATTATTCCTGCTGCTGTGTGATCAACGCGCTGCTCTTCCATTTTCCCCAAGCAACTCTTTTTTTTTTTTTTGTATGTTAATAATAATTTAGCAATAAAGATTTATTTTTCGAAAAAATGAAATACTCTTGAAATGCACTTGAAAGTCCGCAGCTGTATTTTCTCAAGATTTTATTTATTGAACATTGACACCAATTAAGAATTGTATATTTATATTCGATATTTACAGGGATTTTTCAACAAAAATTTAATTGAAGAATTGAAGTGGGTTGCATTTTTTTCAATTCTGAATTTCCTGAATATTTTCCTTTTAAAACTTTTGAGTATTTATTAAATTTCGGAAATACAGCAATTTGTAATCCTAAAAAATTAAGTTTTATAAAATCAGATATTCGAAATTAAAAGAACGTATTTGTTTGTTTTTGTATTAATATTTTTAATTTTAGGAAATATTTGTAATTTCACAAAATATTTTAAAAATTAAGTTCTTAAAGGTAAATGTAAACTAGCAGAAACTTTAGAACACATTTTTTGAAACTACAAAAAATATTCTAGAATTCCAGAACAAACTTGATGGACCTTATAACAGTTGTCTTAACTTCAGATCAAGGTTTCTTGAATTCCATTAACACTTTAAGCTTTAAAATTTGAGCATTTAAAATTTTAGAAATTTTTATTCGAAGAGCGAACTTTTTATTTTGAATTTTGAAGGTACCATTTAAAAGTTAAAGGTGAATTTGATTTAAATTTTGTGCAAAAATATCTCTTGTTTTGATACTCATTTCGAATATTATCAAGAATATATTTACATAAATTGCCAAAAATCAGTTTATTCAAAGACAATTAACTTATATTATAAGATGCGTAACGGCATACGATTTTTGCCTTTATCTTTAGATTTTTATGACCGCTGCACATCTTATTCCTTGCTTTGCCTTTGGTTTTACTTACTCCGAACATCTTAAAGTTTGGCCAATATCTACACTGCTCCGAAAATAGTCAAGTACATTTAGATATATTTAAGTTTAAATTCATGCAGATCCTTGGGTTGGCCTTGGGCTAGTGCGCTTCCGCTCTCTCTGGCGCTCTCGTTACAAAAGGTAAATATAGACTTCCTTGAACAGTTTCGGTTGCTTTGCTTTGTTTAATTCCTAGGTACACACATTTAGTAAAGTTCACTACTAGTGCTGCAAGGGGAAGGGGTGTAGGGATGGAGATGGGGATGGGGGCTCTTGCCTGGACTGAAGTCCTCGTCCGGGCGGCGGGGAAAGGACCTCCCCTTCTCTGCTGACAACCAAGGGCGGGGCAAATGTTTAATGTTGATCCGCTTTGACTACTTAGATAACTTAGACCACAAAGTAAAGCTAGAACTTAGGGTATAATTATAATTAGTGCAACTACAATTAATTAACTTAACAATTCAATCTCAATTCACGCAACAATTCAATACAGTTTCGTCAGACGAAGGGGCTCAGCATCAGGATCCAACTGGGACTCCTCTTGCACGCACTTAAATGCTATAATCAATAGATACATATATGCATATATAAATATATTTGCTTAAAGTTAGGCCTGTGTATATATAAATACGTCGTTTACATAAATATCGTCCACATATATGCAAGTGTGTATAATTATTTTATGTCTGTATATCATCATCGTCTCGCTCTCTCTCGCTGTGTCAGTGTCGTCTGTCTCTGTCTCTCTCTTTGCCTGTCCCTCTTTTTCACTATTATTCTATCCTTCTATCCATTCTTAGCTATCTTTTTTCTGTGAAATGTATCTAAAACTAGAGTATACTAGCTCGATATTTCTTATGGCATGCGATCGATTAAGTAAGTAAGTGTTTAAGTAACTGGCTCCAGTGATCGCTGTCTCTTAATTGCCAATCGATGGTAACAATTTTCTGTCGGTTATTGAGGCCTATCGAATCTGTTGACTCTGTAACGGTGCGCGGATACCATGATGCTGATGCAACTGTTTTCTTAAGTCAACTAATCCTTTCGCTAATTTATTTAAATACATAAACAGGTGATTATTATCGCCTGCTTATTTATCCGAAATTTTTATTGAATTTTCTTTGTGGCACGACAATTATTTTAGGCTGTATATCGATTAGTGCATTTTTGCATTCCGATAAACAATTTTTTGAATACAAGTTTTGACATCTACCAAGACATCTTTGAGATATCTCATTCTCTAGTCAAACTGTAGCTTCTGATAATTTCCCCTTTGCAAATGTATCTTGATCCTGCGACACTACCAAGTGCTGCTATCGCTCCTTTCGTCTAGCGATTATAAACGCTTTCGATCGATTGACGACATTCTTTCCTTCATGTATAAGTTAGGTCTAATTTATCTTGATTCTAAGACACTTGCATCAATCTATATCCTTGATGTCGTCATCCGAAGAGTCCATGTTGACAGTCAAACTGCAGCAATGCCTCTCGATTATACACACGCCTGGGATTTCATCTCTGTGTTGGCAAGCAAATGTTGAGTATCTGGATTCTACGACACCTATATTAGCCTATCTTGGAGATATATTTTCATCTTAAATGCCTAGCTAGCTGCAACTGTAAGGCTATTAACGGGCTTAAACCTTTATGGAGCGACATACAACACATACATACATAGCTATTTGGTTGATATATTTCCCCCAGCTTCTCTGCTCTATCGATTATTTATCGATAGAGTATTTCTGTAAGTGAGTTTAGGCCTATTAACACTGCAATACCTATGTAACCGAAGCCATCTTGAAGATCCTTTAGCCTTGAGTAGTGTGCTATTAATGTTTTTACTTTCGATTATTCATGGTATCGATTATTTCGATTTCTCGATTAAGCTGTATCACTAAGCCTAGACCTACAAAAAAAAATTTGTATTCATTTACGAATAGTTATATGTTTAAGGAACACACATACATAGACACTTAAATTCGCAATGCGTGGCGCTAGTATTTGGTTATCAATATATCATCATCATATATCATATATCGTCATCATCGCTATCGTTATCGTTATCGTATATCGTATTTAATGCTGTTGAACACATGAATGCAGCTGCTCTCCCGCGAGAGGCAAAAGGACTCACACCTCGGCGCCCTGGGACTTGGGGATAGTGGGTTTTCAGGGTTCAGAGCTCAGTTTCAGAGATTGGATCTCGGATAGCGGATGGGTTGTGGTGGTGGTGGTGTTGGATGTGCTTGGGCGGTGGCTAAATGCTGCTCGATCTTCCCAGGGCCGACGTTGTGGTGATGTGATGCTTGTGCCGGGCCCTGTCCCTGGTGTCCACCTTAGCGAAGAACGCCATTGGGAGGCCGGGCGTGGTCCTCGGGGTCTGCGGGGGTGAAAGTCACGGCCGGAATCGCCGGAATCGGTTGTGGATTAGAAACAGGGCCAGTTCCATGGCCAACGGCAACGGCAACGGCTACAGTTCCGGCGGTCGCCGGCGGACTGGCACTCACCTCGTGCTCGGCCTGATGGCAGAACTTGCCCTTCAGCCAGGGCCACTTGATGGTGCGGACGAGGGTGTTCCGGAAGTCCTCGCTGAACAAACAGTAGATGTAGAAGGTCAGCGAGTAGTTGATCAGCTCCAGCAGATTCGCGCTGGCCCGGAACACCTGGAAGGGGAAGCTCGGATACACCTCCGAGGCGATAGTCATATGGAGAATGGCCATGGGCGAGACGCATACAAGAAACAGGATCGAGGTGCTGCCGAGCAGCAGGAACAGTCGTCGCTCCTCGGCAAACTTGCGCGGATCATCGTCCTTCACATAGCCATTGGTATGGGCATGTCCCTGGGCCTGACCCTGGGCGTGACTGTGTCCATGGCCATGACCATGGCTCCGGCTGAGCACCATCTGGCGGCGACGCTCACAGGTGCGCCTATAGACCATCATGATGCGCATGTTGAGACCGCCAATGAGCACGGTGGGCACCAACTTAAAGATCACCTCCAGCATGATCTTGTAGATGCGATAGAAGATGGTCTGCTGGTAAATGGTGTTGTCGCGTCGCAAGTAAACGTACACATCGCTGGAGCCCAGGATGCATTTGATCAGCTCGCCGCGGAAGATGCTTGGCAGGTAGACAATCACCGTTGCCAGGCAGGTGAGAAAGACCACAACTCTGGGGATGGGGATATTAAACAGATGAGAGGGAGTCTGGCTTTCTGTAGGCTACGCTTACCCTGGCGGTCCCATCACGGGCCTGGCGAAGCCCGGATGACAGACGGACACATAACGCTCGATGGTCAGCACCAGTAGCATCATTACTCCCACGCCTGAATAGGTATCAAAACAAGGATACTTTAACTATTACTAATACTAACCAAAAAACCCGAGCTTAAAGCTAAACTCAAGCTTCAGCCAGTTTGCGCCCCTTTAGCAGGGCAACTTACCCAAACATCCATTGCCCAGATAAAGCTCCAAGTGGGCGGTGTAGAAGGCGGGGCCAAACTCCTCCCACTGTCCTCGATCCTTGTGCACCAGCATGCGGATGCCAAAGGGTATGGCGAACACAATGGCCAGCAGGGCGGCCGTGGAGTAGGCTGTGGTGGTGGCGGAGAAGGCAAAGAGCAAGGAGTAAGGTCATGGAACAACAATGGGATTAACTTTGGGGGTGAATCTATAAAAATGTCCTTTATGGTTGACTTTATGGCATAATTATGGCGCCGCTTCCGCAGCCATGTGGCAACAGGAAGTGTCCTCACACACACACATGCACACAGACGCCACTAGAGAGTTGCGGGCCAAATGAATGGCTTTTCTTTCCGGTTCCCCTTTTCTTGGCTTCCGCCCTCCCTCTCTTCCCCTCTTCCTCTCTCTTTTTTGATAACTTTCGCTTGTGTTGGCGGCACATGTGTGTGTGCGTTGTTTATTGATTTATTATTTTGTTTATGAGCATATAATTACATTATTACTAATATCATGTGTGTGCCCCGTGCCCCCGCCAAATTGCTGTGCACACAGCGCTTAATGTTCGCTATATGACTTCCTCAGCTGGAGGAGCAGGCTCGGAGGAGCAGCAGCATCCTCTCATAATGATGGGCATCTAATTGGCCACGGGAACACACACACATCAATATAAATGTCAGTTTTGTTTGTGCGACAAGCCTGACAAGTGTCCTGCCATCACCCAATTTTTGGGTTATGTGAATCGGAATTTCTTTGCGGTCTTAAAGGATGACTCCACCAGTGATTGAGCGGGATTCTATATAAATTTATTCAAACTGAATACAGATCAGGGATCGCTTGGTCAAATGGGGACTCTGTAAGGACCCTACTTGGTGGCAATGACCGCCAAATAACAAATGGGCCGTCCTTCGCCAGTAAAAAGGCTGCCAGCAGCAAAATATTTTTGTTATTTTAATAAAATGAGCCACACTGGGGCGTTGCTCTGATTTCGGTCATTATTACACAGGCCCTCAGAGCGGAGGCTCTTCACAACTTTTATTTACTGCCACTTGAGCAGCGCTAGGGACGGGTGATATTTTAGTCAGTCAAGTCAGTTAGCCAAAGGGTCTGTCTTGCTTTGCATTTTCCTGGTTTCCCTTTTCCTCAACTCTCTCTCTCAGTCGAAAAAAGGGCAATCAATTATGCTAGCATAGCATGCGTATTACATTTGAAGCATTTCACATTTTATTTTCACATTTTTCAGGGGGCTTTTCCCACTTTGCCTTTGTTGGTGTTCTATATACCCTTTTATGGGCCACCCAAATTCGGGTTAGATCAGCCACAGCAGCGAGTCATAAACTTGGCAAGTTGTTTGGGGCAGAAATTTGGACCAGTGCCTAGAGGGCTACAGCTAAATAGGTTTTTTTTTTTCTAAATCAGATCGATGGCTAAGGGGAAGAGAATTAAAATTTTGCTTAAAAAACGTAAAACAAATATTTTATGTTAAGTTATTTTTGTTTATATATGTTTTAGGTTGATCTAGAACCCTTAAAGTGTGTCTAAAAATATGAAATATAAGTTTTTAGGCAGCAAATTCTAGGTATATTTAATTATTTTAATATATAAAAGACTTTAAATATAAATAAGATGCATAGCGCCAGCTTTTTAGGCATTCTAAATCTGCCTGTAAGTGTGGATGATGGTTTTGTGTTTATTTACACTTGCAAGGTATATTATTTTTTACAGATTTTGGCACCATGGCATCATGGCATCATGCTCATTAAGCATCTATTTTAAAAGAGTGTCCAAAAACCTCTAAAAAATGTACTTGAAAATCTAAAATACAACATTAAAGACACCAAAATCAGTGTTCGTTTTTAGAAGATCTGAAATATTATTATTATTTATATTCCACAAAGGATATAACCCATGTCGGTTCACTGCCCACCCCTTTATCCTGACAAGTAAAGTGAGACGCCTGCTGCTGCCTTTTCCGTGTTGCTTCTCTCCTCTGTTTTTTTTCGGGGGGTTTTCCCCGTGAGTGATAGTCAAGGCTAAAAAATTACCAGCAAGTGGCGGCGTTGACAAAGTTGCCTGTTTTCCCGGCCAAAAGAGTGGGCAGGAAGCGGAGCTCATTAATCAATTAAAGCGCCATAAAGAAAAGCGGGTGTCTAATAGAGTTGACATGCTGTCTAATACAGCAGAAAAAGTCATGGGAGATGGGCTTAGGCAAAGGCTCTGCATAAATTTACACGGGGTTAAGCGGTCTCGCCTAATGAAATAACTTTCAATGAAGCTAAACAACACACACACACACACAGCACAGATAGCTCGACTTTGGGGGCATATATTAGCAGCATTGTGGCAGCTTCAATTTCCTAAGAAATCGTCGAGGTTAATGAATAAATTCTGTGGCACAATGGCTTTGGCCTGGCAACGGGGAATACATATGTTCTAAAGCGAAACTCAATTTGGCAATCAGTCAAGAGTCAAGCCCAATTCCCAGGCCTCACTCTCTCTCTCTCTCAATATATATACAGATATATATAAATTTTGTTCCGGAATGAAGCTGAGGAAATTCAATGTTTTGCGTGGGCGAAGACGTACGAGTGTCTCTGGCCAAATTCAATATAGGTTATAGCAAATCATACCCGCTCTTTGGTATTTCTTTACAAAAACAGAAAAAAGTGAACAATAAAATGAAGAGGGTCCCATAAACTCATTAGGCACTCAATAGAGGCCAGCTCTGAGTTTCCTGTAAATGAATTGGCAAGGCTTTACTCCACAAATTTAATTGTCTCAACTAGACATAGATATTGTGCCTAGTTAAGGCTTTGTTTTAGGGAATTTGGCTTGGAATTTACTCAGTAATTAATTGGAAAATATATAATCAGGGACCCATACATCAGAGGGACTTATAATATAACCAAATAGTTAAAGCAAGCTTTAATTCTTTCTGTGACAAGTGGAGTTTTTCCCTGGCGATGACAAGCCAAAATATTTGAATACCAAAGACTAGAGTCCTTTCCTGGTGGCATGAAGAGGACAAGGATGAGAATGAGGATGAGGATGAGTATGAGAATGATGAGGATGAGAAAGAGGACATGGATGAGCACAAGGATGAAGATGGGAGAGAGGACAAACACGAAGACGAGGATGAGCACAAGGATAAAGATGGGAAAGAGGACAAAGACGAAGACAAGGATGAGGATGAGGATAAGCACTAGGTATAGGATGAGTACTAGACCTAGGAGGAGTCCAAAAAAGACAAGTACCCAGACAAGGACACTTACCCCTCATGTAGATGTAGGCGGTGCCACGCATATTGCGCCTGGTGAGCACAATCAGGTTGAGCACGTTGCCAATGATGCCCATGGCGCAGATGATGGGCAGCAGGAGCCCATAGCAATACTCCCTCAGCGACTCTGTTCGCGGATCCTCCACATCCTGCAAATAGATAGAAAGACAGAGCCTGGGTGAATGAGCTTGGCTCGTAAATCATCGCCGGCTGGCCTCCTCCCTGCCATAGATAAAAATTCAATAGTCGACTTGACACTTTTATTTTGTGACTACACACAAACACATTTCCTATTTTCGCCTTGAGTCAAAGTTGCAAACAAAAAAGCAGCTTCTGGCTGTCTATCAGCCAACTTTTGGCTTAACTCAGGGCTAAATTGCATTTGGTGGGAGAGTTGAGGTGGCAGCTAGTTCTTGGGGTTTACAAAAACATGTGATATTGATATTTAAACCAGAAATCGGACTGCTTTTAGCTGTTATAAGCTGGAGTAAATGAGAAGAGATTCGAAAACTCCTTGAAATATGTATTGTTGTATTTCATTTTATAGCAAAGAAAGTATTTCAAACCTCTATTACATCAATTTTAAATTGCTTCAAAAACTCGAAAAATGTGTTAAATTTAATCAGAAAGAATATCTAAAATATATACATATTGATATAAAATTTATATGAATTCAAACTGAATTCAAAGTAAAGACTCAATACTAATACCTTGATTGATACTTTTAGCCGCAGAATTTTACGAAATAACCCTGCCCAGTTGAACTCTACTTTATTTTATAAAGAAAATAGAATAAACAATGGTTTCCTTTTGCAGCTTAAGACTTGGACAACCGAATACGTGCTGATTTAAGAGGTGGCAGGATTCTTTGGCGGACTTTAAAGAGTTAAGTGAACCCAGCAGACCCCCGGTATCTTAGATACGGTCACGGAGCTTCTGCATCGCAGCTTGTTTCCTCCACTGAACGAACGTGCTGTGCCATGAAATGAGCAATTCCCCGCTACCTCTCCCTTGCACAGTGGTCGAGCTTGTATGGAGCCGCGGCCATAACTACTTCTAGATGTGCTATCGCTATGAAACTTTCACCAAAAATCTAGAAAAATGTTTAAGGTATATCCACAAAAAATTGGCCATATTGCTCGACTTTATCATATAGCTGCCATAGGAACAATCTGTTAAAAATTAATACTTAATATGAAAAACTTTTTTGTTTTTCAAGATATCTTAACCAATTTCACAGATTATATGTTTGGTACAGGTTTATGCATTTTTACCAAATTTGGTTAAAATCGGATCTCTATATCTTATAGCTCCCATACAACATTTTTATAAAACCATTTTTTTCCAAGACCTAACTTTAATTTTTTAGTTTTTGATCTCTTAATGAGAACGTTGGTGAAATATAAGTGCCCAAAAGAAGAAAAAAAAATTATTCACTTATATATTGTGTGTTTATTTTGTCCAGCAACAAACTTACACAGCTTAAGGGGGGTAAGGTTAATTGGGTGCAAAACTCACTACTTTTCAAAAAAATGTTGTGGCGAAACGGCTAAAATTAGCTTAATGAATTAAATACCATATAATAACACAACATTTGAGCAATTTTTTTAAAATTTTTGTATTAAAAAATATTTACATGCTTACGAGTAATAGCGAATCTCCTGAGTCCCCACAAAAAAGTTTATTTTCGGTGTACATCCTATCCTAACTGTCCACAAAAACATCAGATATCAATAAAATGTATTGTATTCACTAAAGGATAAGTGCCCCGAGATACTCAGGTAACTTTTTTATTTTTAAAATTTTTTCCCGATTTTCTATTACAACCCGGATTATTGGCTAAAAAATTAGGGTAATTTGTTTTGTAATGGCAAATTTGCAGCCGCAGGTAGCCGCAGCTAAAGTAAACATTTTTATAATCTTTAAATATTAGTTAATGACGGCACATAAATTTCATTTGGGGGCAACGGGGGGAAAATACTTAAAACTTTACGTAAACTCAACATATACGAACTAAAAAGACGCACTTTTTTAACAAAGATTTACACGAAACACAACACAAATTATATATATATTTTTCTGTACAAATAAAGTATATACCTTTATCTACCATATCCAGTCCAATTGTTTTTGGTTTAACAGCGTTTTATATTATATTTAAAATTTTTAAATTTGGTCTGTGCACTCCACAGCTGACAAATTAAAAGTGCATGAATACAAAAACGCTTTTGTCAATCTATTTTCAGAAAGTCCCGTTAGAAATTCCAAGCAGACCGTATTGCATGGTAAACTTTGGACAATCAGCTGATAGAAAAACCAGGTTTCGCTTGGATAGCTCAAAATCAATTTTTTTATTTTTGGCCTATGGGCCCGACCACTGTGCCTTGACGACCCTGCTGTTTAACTGAAAACATTTGAGAAAAACATTTCCCGCGGTGCCCGAAAGTAGGCAACAGTTTTCACGCGCAGCAGGTTGCCAGCGGTTGCTGGCTCCTGGTTAGGAGCAGTAGCTGGAGGATCTACTGGAGCTTGGACCGAGGTCCGAGAATGGAGGATGGAGGAGAATGCACTCACCCGATAGAAGTCATCGCGCAGGTCGGTGAAGACGGGCGAGGAGTTGCCTGCCGCGGCCAGGACATCGGTGGTGCTGCTGAGATTGGAGCCCCAGATGAAGGAGCAGTAGGCGGGATCCTCTTCGGTATTGTAGAGCCTCGTTATCATAGTAGTTGCTTCTGTTATGCCGCCGCTGTGAATCGAGTTTAATTTGTGTAAGTAAGTTAGCAAAAAAGGGAATGGCGAGTAAAAATAGACGGAACACGATTTCGGGTACAAAGTCGAGAGCTGGATTCTACACTAAGAAAAAATATAAATAATATTTGAAAACCTTTTATTATCCACCTTCTTAAAAATCCCTTAAAAAGGTGTCTAAAAGTATGCAATGAGATATTTTGCGTTATAGTTTTGGACACACTTTTATGGTTTCATATTTTTATTTTAGTAATTTGGAAACCCTAGCGCTTAAAAAAGTGTCTAAAAGTATGCAATGATTTATATTGTGACATAGTTTTGGAAACCTTTCCATGGCTTAAAAAGAATTTCGAAACCCTTTTTTAGCATCTCTTAGTCATATAATTTATTTCAAATACTAGGTACATTTTACTCTTAATTTTTCCGAGTGCCCACAGGCCTTCCAGCCCGAATGAATGTCCCGGAATGCCGGGACTCTGCCTTCGATGGCCATGTAATTTAAATAGAGAAGGCGGAGGAGTCGGGCGACTGTGACTGTGACGCGTCTAGCGGAAACGGAAGCGTTCACTTGTACACTTGTGCGATAAAAACAAAGCGCAGAAGGAGGCAAAAGTTGGGAGCTGGCGTAACAATTGGGACTTTGATTGCCGACGCGCAGTACAAACAAATCAAGGCAAAAATTGAAAAGCAACTGCCAGAGGAGACGTAAAAGTAAAATGCTGGAAATAATTGCGGGTCGTAAATAAGTTTTTTGGATGGATAAGAGCCACCAGGGACTGGCCAGAGATTATGTACCTGGTTTCCTGTTCCTGCGTCCTAGCCACTCCGCTCAGCTTGTTTAGTACACGGGCCAGCGTACTTCTGTGTTCGGTTCATAGAATCTTTGCAGCTGACAGGCTCTGGCCGAGTTGGTTGCAATTCTGGCTAACCTTTCACGCGGCATCATCTTGACACCTGTGTGGGGGTAGGAAAATTCAGTTAAATTAAAGAAATTATTAGATCACATTAATATGAAAGGCATTAAATGAAGCTTGACCGTGTTGAAATTCGTCACATGTATTTTATTAGGCGACACACACACTCTACACTTTATTCCCGCGGCAACAGGTGTGTTTTATTTGCACGCGTCATGCGCCACTCCCCATTTTCCCCAACTCTCCCTGCCTCGGTTCTCGGTACACCATTTTCCATTTTCCCAGCGGCAGCTAAGCGCTAAAATCAACGTTGACAGGCAGCAGAAATTCGTATAAAATATTTGATAAATTGCCCGCGAGCCAGCTCCAAAAGGGAGGAGAGGAAAAGTCGGAAAAGCACCGAGGGGAGCTGCTGAGCTTTTCCTTTAATGGCTTTGTGTGTCTGTCAAAATAGGAGAAAAGGAGAAAAACAGAGGAAAAGAGGGAAAGCCGAAAGCAAAAAGCAAAGCAAGCAAGTGCACCCGCAAGTATGCAATGCTTTTTTTGCGGCCGCCGCCATTTGCATATCACGCATACGCACTGTGGCACTCGAGAACACCTTGTTTAGAGCTTTGTGCGGTGACACAAACATGACACGAACTTAATTTCCCCAAGGCACAACATGAAAGCGGGAATCCTTACTGTACCGTACACCTGTACAGAGAGTGAGTGTGTCCCTGTCCCTGTCCCTGTCCCAATCCCAGTCCGAGTTGGATTCTGGCATAATTTATGCCTGCGATTATCATAATAATTCGCCAGACCAGTCCAACACATACACACAGGACAAGGTAGTCTGGGTTTTTAGGGGGTGTCAAAGGCTGGGTGGTGGGTGATGGGTTGTGGTTGTCCTGTGTGTGGGTGCGGGTGTCGACTGTCAACTGTCGCTTGTTAGTTTTTGGTTTTCGAGCTCTTCTACGCCGCTGTTTGTCGAGCACTTACAGTTATTGCGGTTTAGTTTGCCTGGCGAATAAATAGAAGAGAGAGCGTAGAGACCCGGTTCGAGGTCCTTCCCCTAGATTTGGCCACCCCTTTTTGGATTTGTTTTACATTTTCGTTTCGTTTCCTATATACCATATAGTTTGTGCATGGCTTTTTCATTTTATTCGTTTAACAAACAGCAGTTTGTCATTTAAACAAACATGGGAAATGCGGGGGGTTTTGTGCTTGATATGAGAGTGACTTTGCCTGTTTATCTTCCGACGGAAATGTAAGAAGAACAAAAAAAAGAAGGAAAATAAAGCTTGGACCAAAGGGAAAAGGAAAAATGGCAAAACCGAAGCGTGGCTTAATGGACCTGCTGGGAGAGAGAGGGTTTTCCAGCACACACCAGCGATCCATCTATCTCTATCCCTGTCTGCTGCCGCATGTGTGCTGGCATGATTAATGCCTTTGTTTACATTTCCCGCTTCACTTTTTGGTTATTTTCTGCCCCGAAACCCCTCCCTACCCCACTACTCCTCTGTCCTATAGGGAATGATATGTTTAACAAAAAAGTTTAACGCAAATTAAGTCAAACTGGCAGCGCTTAACGATGTGCGACATAGATGAATATCCTACCAACCATATGTCTGCGAGTGAGTGTATATGGACAGTATTCTGTTCCTGTGTTCGTTGGGACTTTAATTTACACACAAAATGACAACACCCACACACAAACACACACACACACACACACACCCACACGGTGTGACAGCTAGCAAATTAAGTTTAGCTACCAAAAAAATGTATATAAAAATAATAAAAATAGCAAACTGTAAAAGGAAATCAACTCAAGACCAAGTTTAAGTGGATTTCCCAGATCCTGTCAGGAACAGGACAGTGGGCCTGGGCTGAAAAACACCTCTTATAGCCTTTATATATGGTATTTTATATAGACTTTGCTCATTGATATTCATTGTTAATTTGAAATCAGATTTTTAGAATTTCAGTTTAGAATTTCCAAAGTTTTGGCCTCGGCCCATTGTCCATTCTCTCGCTGGGAAAGCTGCTCAATCTGTTGGCTGGGCGGGTGATTAGGAACCCTCCTCCTCCTCCGCCGCCGCTCCTCTCGTTACGATGAACTTGTTCCATCTGCCTCCCATGTGTGTCCTTTCTGGCCATTAAGTTTTTAATTTCCCTGGCAGGACATGGCTGCCACTGCTGTTGTTGCTGCTGTTTTCGCCTCTGTTTGCTGTCCACCTTTTCGGCGACATTTTCATTTTTTTTTCGGCTTTTGTTTGCTTTTAATTACGCAATCGTTTCTATTTAATTTTTTTGTTTCGCCCTCCAATTAAGCTTTTAATTAAAACCCCAAGGCGATGCCACCTCGGCTGCTACTGCTTTACCCTACTTATTTTCCTATTTTCACGACTTTTTAATCGAAAACTTATCGGGACGAGTTGTAGAAGACGCCTGCGCTGCCCGATTAATTTTCAATTTAAATTTACATTTGTATGCACAGCGGAACAGGAGCAGCAGCAGCAGCAGCAGGCACAACTTTGGCCATAAATTGGCATGACCAGTTGATGTTGTCGCCCGGCAGTTATCGAAATTGCTTAACGGTCATCTCCCAGGCTCCATCAACCTCCTCCCCTTGCCACCCGCTGCGAGATAAACATGCAAAGTGTGTGGCCTTAATGTCCTTTCCCCCCGCTGCCTTCGGGCAGGTCAATAAAATGCGTGTCCACAGGGAGAAACCAAACCCAGAGAACCAAAGCAGCTATAGCTAGAGTTTGGTTTTTTGTTTTTGTTTTTGATTTTTATTTATGTGATTTTTTTTATTTATGAAAAAGATGGTTTTGGTTTTGGCCCAATTTGAAATTGAATTTATTTTATGTACAGCTTGTCACCAAATAAAGTTTTTTAGAATAAGAAAATCAAAGGTGGGAGCTGATCTGAAGAGAGGCTCTAGAAACAACCTGCTGGTCTTGTTAGCCAAGCTTTTAATTTAATAATATATTTTATAAATTATATATATATATACTACAATTTAGATATTATATATTTATATAAGTATATTACAAATTTTTAATATTTACATATATTTTTTTATAAGTTTTATAAAGGGTCTACCTATAACTTTAATTAAATTATAAAACTTGAAATCGTTTTGTTACCCATTTTGGTTCCTAAAAGATCCAAACGTTTAAGAAGTATCCATTTGTCTTTAAATATTTCTTATTTTTTAATTTATAAATTAAATTAATATTAATTATTTATAAATTCAAGGAAGTAGCAAAAGAAGTTAAGTGTTTTAATAATTTTTTAATTGAATTCTTGAATCAGTTTTTGCTCGAAATAGTTCCTATAATTTAGGATTAAGATAAAATTAATTAAAATTGTTAATATTATTATTAATATTATTATTGTAATATATTATTGTAATATATTATTGTATAATACATTATTGTATTTATTTAATAAATTTTTTTTAATTATCAATTTGAAAATTAGCAAAAGAAGTTAATTTTGAATCGATTTGTTATCCACTTTTGTTCTTAATAGTTCTTAAAATTAATGATTTAAACATTACTTTGACTTTTTATGCGGTTTATTTCTTAATAATTTTAAATTTAATATTTTAATTAATTTTAATATTTTAATTTATTTATTATTTTCTATTTTTAACTATTTATTAGTTATAATATTTTGAATACATGTTAAGTTTAATTAATTTCACATTTTGCTGGAATTACTTCTTAACATTTGAGTTTTAACCTTTATTTTTTTTTTTTTTGTTTACTTGTTTTTTTTAATATATTTTGTATATATGTATACAAAAAAAGCCTAATTCCTTTTTGGCCATCATATCCTGTTAACTGCTACCAGCTGATGCCACGCTGATGGCCGCTTAACATTTTGACCCAACCATTTTCAGCCGGAGTTTGTCAGTTTCAACTGGCTCTAAATAATGTCGACAAACGTGACTTTTGCCCCAAAGAGGGGAGGGGGTGGGCATGACCCCAGGGACCTCAACTTCAACCTCCCCCGCCCCCCTATTGTTGTGGAATTGGAATCTGGAACTGAATCGGTGTCTGAATC